AATAAATCCAAGATAATACTTCAAAAACCTAATTAAATAAGATTTACTAGAGTTTTGAATTTAAACCCTGAGCAGTTGCTGCCAAAATCAAGTCTAAATTTAAAATTTGTAGTTACAGGCTATTGTATTGTTCAGTGTCTTAACTCACAGCTGCCAGATTTGCTTTTTCCGCCTCTCTCTGAAAAAGAAAATATTTTGCTGCTCTTAGGAATTGGTGGGAGGTTGAACGTTTAAGTTTCTTGTAGGAAAATCATTGTAATCCTGAAATTCGAACTCCAACCTCTGAACCTGACTTGGCATTTACAGTAATTCCCAGAAAAATACAACAGGAAAGCAAATTAAGTTTAAGCGTGTTTGGCCCATTGGATCTTGTGATCGGAGTTTGAGGTGTATGGTGATGTATGTGTTGTGAGTGGTTTTTTGTCCCAATCCTTGATGTTTTTTTCCTTTGGGTGCTTCATGCATTTCCAGTTTTGTTATTGACCCTGTATTTATGGGAGAATGAATTAATTCAACTGTCACAGGCTTTCTGACTGAGAATTTTGGGAAATGCAACAGTTGGAATCGTGATAGAGCCAACAGTATGTTGCCTAATTATTTGACCTCAAACTTTTTTAAACTACTAAACTGCTGTCCTTTAAAACCAATAGTAAGTTAGCCTGATTATTTGCCTTTGCCCTTGAGCTCTGTTAAACTATCGGAATAAACAGCCGTCCTTCAAAACCAACAGAAAATTATTTTTCATCTTTTGACTATGGAAGTATTTTAAACTCATCATCTTGTCCTTTGTAATAAGTTCCGAAGCAAATTAAGGTACATTCCATGGAATGGTGTGTGTATATATTGCAATGTTGAGTAGGATCAATCATACATGCTTTATTTTTGTATATAGATTTCTTGAATGTCATTTTTCGATAGTGAGAATGACTTCCATTTATAAATGATTCATCGGAATTTGGAGCAATATTGGTTTTATCTGTGTTCTCTGGGTATGGAACTATAGAAACTGATGTAGGCAAAAGAGTTAGCAGTTCTCCTTTTATTAAAATGGATTTGTCGGAGTTAATAAAGTATTCCTAAGATGAGCCAGATAATGACAGCTGTATTTGTTTTCAAGCAACTGAAGCCTTCTGTTTTGGATGGTGGACTTAAACAATTAATATCTTCTCTATCCCTTGCTTGCTGGTTTTTTACTCTGAAAATGTTGTTATAGAATCTGTGGCCTATGAAGTTGGTTATACCTAGGGATTAACGTGCATTTTTTGTGATGATATTCTTATGCTGCTTCTCAAACTGCATTTGGTACAGTCATGTGTCATCACTGCTAGGTTGTTTGTTTGGTTGCACATTTGTGCCAACATGCTCATGGCATGCTTCTCTTCTTACTTGTTTACATTATGTAATTTCCCTTCGCTGATTTAAATAGTATCATGTCTACAGGGTTGTGAACGTGAAGTTGCTGAGGCTGAGAAAGGTTCCACTGATGAACTTAAAAGTGAATGTATCATGCGCTTGTCCTGGGCTCTTGTTCACTCAAAAAGGCCAGAGGATGTACAACGAGGGATAGCAATGCTCGAAGGTCAGTTTGGAAATGACAAACATGGGTCTCTCTCTCTCTCTTTGCTGCTCGTTTTTGTGCAAATCTTTGAGTTTGTGGGTTTATCCATGCAATTTTTTCATGGTACTCTTTTTAAGTAAAATGAATGGAATTTCCTGAATCGCTATTTGAGGTTATAAGGTTTTGATTCTAGTAGAACTTGCTTTCGTCTTTTTCACCTTTTTCTGCTTCAGTGGTGTATCGGGACATTTAGTGTTTGATTCTTTCTTGGGTAGGGAATGTAACTTTTGCAGTTTTTATTGCTCCTCCTTTCTTCCATTTTTATAAAATACCACATGGTTTCCCATTGGGAGCTCTGCTGATAATCCACTTTGTCAACTCTTGGTATTTGTAATGTTTGCTGTTGATCAATGCACTACATACTAGGGCAAAGGTATCCGCACATGCCCTTTTCTACCCCTGCTATTTCTGTGTACGTTCATCAGAAAATCCTTCTTGAATCATACATGTTTTCTTGAAGAAAAATGGAAAACAGTATATGACTGATTTCCCCTGTTTATTTCTTCCTCCCATTTTCCTGTCCTCTGTCTTTTTTTCTTTCTTTACATTCTCATGTTACTTCGTCCCTTTCATCTTTATGTGTTACTCTTTTTAATTTGGCTACCTGGGGATTTTTATTCTGTCCCTTTGACTTGCATTTTGATTTTGTCTAGCTGACTTGCCTATTTCTTCTATGTTGCCAATCTTATGGTTGGGTAATAACTGCTTTATTGTTTGCATGGTTCCTGAAATTTTAGCATGCACTTCACGGTAAATTATTAGTTGGATGAGGCAGACCTTTCTGCTACAATGCACTTTGGATTTTATGCAACAATACTTCTTACTATTCTACCTCCCTCACTTCATTATTTTGTTTCCCACCCTTTGTCCTCTCTCTCTCTCTCTCTCTCTCTCTCTCTGTTATTTTTTAAGTATGTTTTCCTTTTACATCTTTAAATGAAGTTTCTTTTGCATAGCTGATTGGAAATTGTCTCTCTTGATTTTTCCCACTTCTTGTGTTGAAATAGTTGATATTAACTGTAAACCATGTTTGCAGCTTCTCTGTCTGGCAGTGGTAGCCCACTGCAAACTAGGGAAAGAATTTATCTCCTGGCTGTGGGTTACTATAGAAGTGGAGACTACACAAGGAGCAGACAACTTGTTGAGCGCTGTTTGGAGGTCTGATCTTCACAAACTGAAAGTCCTAATAATTACTTTCATGTTCACTGACTGAAAAAGGGCTCTTTATGTATCTGAATTACTGTAGTGAAAGCAAAAGGATAATCAATTTGTCATTCTTGAATACCCTGTAAATTAAGGACAGCTGCCCATATATTTTGGCTTCTCCCCTGTTTGACTAGTAAGTTGAAAAATGTTACTCATGGTTTCTGCAGGTTGCACCTGATTGGAGACAAGCCTTAAGCCTCAAGAAAACAATTGAAGAAAAAATTACAAAAGGTGGTAACCTGAATTTTTTTTTTTTGGCTTTAAATTTTAGTAAACACTGTATTTCCTTTGAGCGACACATATACGACTCATGAAGGGAAGCATTAGTTACTTCAAGTTGATTTAAGAAGCCAATGGCTAATACTTTCTGGTTTTCCTTTTCCTCTGTTGCAGATGGAGTGATTGGGATGGGCATTGCTGCCACTGCTGTTGGTCTTTTGGCTGGTGGCATTGCTGCGGCACTTTCTCGCAAGAAATGAACTTATCTTAATTAAAACCCCATCTTTGTGCAGGTGAAATCCAGAGTCTACTAAAATATCCAGTTTTGTCTTCTGCAATATTTGGTTGTCCTGATGAAGCAATGTCTGTAAAATCAAACCAAACCCTTGCCTCTGCTTTCTAGTACAATGGTTTACCTGATCTTTATGTAGATATTCAAAATGGTCGCTGATTTCTGTTTTGTGGGTTCTTAACAGTATTGTATGAAGCACTTGATGTGGCTTTTACAGTTTATTCCTTCTTTGCTGGTGCAATTCCACCCCCTCTTCCCCCCCCCCCTCTCTCTCTCTCTCTCTCTCTCTCTCTTTCCCTCCCAACAAAAAACAATTCTACTATCATTCTTGTGTTCATTCTCATTCATGAATTCGAGTATGAAAGAGGTATGCTTTTTCGTAAAAACCGAGGGATGTATGTCACAAAAAAGTAGTGATACAAGGGAAATGAAATACTGCGTACTTAAATATTGGGGTTACAATTAACAGAAGATGACGTGTTTGAATTTGTGTGCCACGTTGCCGCTTTTGAGCTGTGGATGAACTCTTGCAAAAAGAGTCTACAGTGAAAACGAGGAAATGGCAGTCCAATGCCTTTTTCAAACTTCTTGCACAAAAATTTTTTTTTTAAAGAAAATTCGCATTTCTCAAAAAAGTAGGTATTCCTTCACTTGCATTAGATGAAATTTGAAGGAGTGTCGATTTCTTGAAAAGTATTAATATCATTTTCCTTCTTTTTAAAATGTTTTATTGGCATATCGTCTTCATTTAAAGTGCATGTAAGAAGTTAAAAATTAGCGTTATGTTTCTTTAAAAGAGAGCAAAAAAGAAGATGAAATTTAACCCGTTTTACTTCAAAAAATTGATAAGATAATTGCACCATGAATTATCTCGAACAATCCACTTCCTTATTATTGAGGATCCAAATCAAATGAGGAGGTTAAACAATACAGGAGCAATCAATTTAGAGTTTTTTCTGATTTTGTGTCATTCTAGAGACACATGATAAGCACATAATAATAATAATAATAAAGAGATGGGTCCATTATGACCACTCCAAAATGACTTTCGCAAAAAATTTAGTAAACAAATAAATTCTTCAATCTGGCCTTAAGTTTTTGTTTTTGTTTTTTTTTTCCATCCATTTGTGACTTGTGAGTCAGTTGAAGACAGTATCCGGTCTGTTCTTATCAAATTGCGTATGTATTTCGGTAACCAGTGTATTGAAAGCGAAGGATTAAAAGGATCAAAAATATATTAATAAATTTTGTGAAGAAACAAAGCAACGATGGACTCCATGGCCCAATGGATAAGGCGCTGGTCTACGGAACCAGAGATTCTGGGTTCGATCCCCAGTGGAGTCGTTGTTTGTTTTGCTTTGGTACTCAATTATTATATTTAATCTTGCTCAAATTGTAAATACCTCGCTTAAGCAGTTATGGATCCCTTATCTAGTTATATTGTATATAATCAAAATCAGCGATCTGTGTTTAGGAGTTTTTCTCAATCATTTATTTTCAATTCATGATCATTGATCAAGTTTACCATATTTTAGTATTTTATGCAGTCAAATTTCTTTCTTTTGTTTTGAATTCAGTTGATCCTGCATTGGCCATTCTGCATGCAAGTACTATTGATTAAGCCAAAAGATGCATTCTTTTAAATGCTTGAATTGAAATTACAAGTTTCCAGCAAGCCTCATAAGATAAAGTGTTTAGTAATTGGTCCGCCAACAATTGGATTGAGAAAATTGAAAGTAAAAAACACATCAAGCTTCTCATACATTATTCCCCCCTATATTATTGACAGAATAGTTTCACTTGTTTTGCAACAAACAGGTATGTACATGTGTTGATGGTTACCTTGCATGCTAAAATTTCTCTAGTAAAATGGTCTATTTCTGAGTCCAACTTGAGGTTGTCAATTGCCTTTTCTTGAGCTTAACAGGCAATCCACCACGCATCTTGAGGAGAAGGGATAATGTGTAAGGTGGATGAAAAATCCTTTCTGGTAATCCACCTCCATCAACAGCCTTAACTTCAAAACTATAAATAACAGATGCAGCAACAGATTTCATTTGCATGTAAGCCATGTCCTTCCCCAAGCACATCCTAGGACCACAATGAAATACTGGGAATTTGAATTGATCACAGGGCTGGAATACACCATCTTCATCCAACCATCTCTCAGGCCTGAACTCCCGACAATCAGGACCCCACAGCCTCTCCATCCTCCCTGCTGCATAAGCTGAGTAATCAGCAAACCACCCTTTTCCCACGAAAGTCCCTGTACTCAGGGTGTCGTTAGATACAGTTAATCTTGAATTGATTGGCACTGGTGGGAAGAGCCGTAATGATTCTGAGATGGTTGCACGTAGGAAATGGAGCTTCTTAAGCTCATCATAGCTTAAACTTTCTGGTGCTTTCTCTGGAGATGTTGCAATTGTGGCCAGCAGTTCACTGTAGATCAACTGCTCATACTGAGGATGGCCAGAAATTAACCAGAAAAACCAAGTCAATGCTGTTGAGGTCGAGTCTTTACCTGCCAACAAAAATTAAACAAAATATCTCATATTACTAACAGGCTTGTAAACTAGACAATCAATACTACGCTAACAAATTCCTGCCATAAAGCTATATATACTAATGTGAAACATATACAGCAGCTATATAATCCATACCTGCAAGTATGAAGCTGATCACTATATCTCTCAAGAACTTCCTCTTTTCATCTTGATTATGAAATCCAAGATTTGACACTGAATCCATAAACCTAGATAACAAATCTTGATTCTGTCCCAGCCCATTTCCCTCTTGGTTCAGGTGCATTTTCTCTTTGGATCGTATAATATCCATGGCATAATCATTTATTACTTGAATGTCTTCATTGTATTGTTTTTCACTACCAATATTCAGAAGCCTCTTCATCTTCCATAATGCCGGTAAAGGTGACATAAACCTGTCTGAACTAACCTCAACGGCATGATCAAATGCACAGACAAATGACAAATTCCGTGAGTTGTGATCAACCTTGTTCAAGTCTAGCCATGCAGGGTCAACACCAAATGCAATGTTGCATATGTTATCGAATGCAAACCTGCGAAAAACCTCTTGTAAATCGATGACTTCTTCCTTATCACATGCGAAGGATAGGTATGGAATCAAGCGGTTTGAAATTTGACCTTGGACAGTGCTTGAGATGAAATGCTTGAGAGATTTGGTGTTAAACTCATGGCTGGCAATTTTGCGTTGTGAAGACCAGAGTTCACCATCAACTTTGAAGATGCCATCGCCAAGAAGATCTTGTAGTACATTATGGAAACGGGAGCCTTTCACATAATTAGAAAAATTGGAGCGAAGAATATGGTCAAGATTGACAGGGTTGGCAGTGCAAATGCCATGAGAAAGGCCAAGGAAGCCATTGACCTGAAGAGTAAGATCTGGAGTGCACGAAAGCATTTCAGCAACCCAATCATGGAAGCGGTGGCAGTTGAGGAGGAAGCCAATGATATTTCCAACCAGAGGGTATGACTGAGGAGATGGAGCACACTTGGGTGGAGAAGAGTATTTCCGAAAGATGAAGTATATTAGTGAGAGGAAGCCAAGAGAGATCGTGAGACAGGAAAGAACATTTGCTTGGAAATCCACCATTCTGACAACTTTCTAGGCAACAACTAAAAATCACTGAACCTCTAAGGTGAAGGGACGAGACTCTGACAGAAGAGATGCCTAATGCTTCTTGCTATCACAGTCATGCAAATGCATTATAACAGCTCCAATATTGGTTGGTCTACACAAGGCTATCCACAATACTTCTGTCCAATATTTTTGCCTGCTTACACGTCAAAATTTGACATGGACTAAAAGAAGTCAAACCATTATTCATTTTAAATCACAACTTTACAGTCAATAAAGTTTTTGCAGATACATTGTAAACACATAAACTGTTTCATACAGCTACAGCCAAATAACATGATGGTGTACATATACTCTTGCTGGTGATGACTACTAAGGGAATCCCATGGCTTTTCTTATATTCAAAAAGTTGAATGAAGTACTTCAGTACTTGAATAGTCTGTATCCAAGTATCTTAGAATGATCTGCCTCCCCTATTCTTGTGCACAACCAAATGCTAATTCTACTTACGGCAGGCTAGATTTAAGTCCAGAAATATGTTTGATATATAGAACTAGCAGAGTTTGATTATGAATCCTCAATTGTCGAGAGAGGAAAGTTACAAATTAACTATACTACCCTGTGCATCTAGCTGCCACCCAAACAATCAAAGTCCTGTTTGCCATCAGTTAAGCACTATTAAGGCAACTGGGCAAGCAAAAGTCATCAAATATAAATTAATTGACATGGATGATATTCAATGTCACAGAAGGGATCTACACAAGTTAATCAATCTAGTGATCTACAGAAATACAGTCCATAAAAATAATAAAGGAATCCCGTGGTAGGAGTCCTTTAGCCAGTGATGACTGACAGCCATACACACAAATACATTAAACTGTTTAATGGCCTCTAGGGCTTTATTTATTGGTTTCTTTTCCTTTTCCTTTTCCAACTCGTCTTCATTCAGGCACACAGAGACACACACACACATAGAGGCTTGGAAAAGGAAAAGGGAAAAAGTGACAAATTACTGGAACAAGTGACAAATTACTGGAACAAGTGACAAGGAATGAATGAAAGTGGGAAAAAGTGACAAATTACTGGAACAAAAAGTTGAACTTTGCAATGGTGAAAAGCAGTACGAGGAATTCTACCTGAGATAAGAATGGACAAATGACTGCCAATACCAAAGATTGAAGAGTATAACCAGCAAAAAGGATCAAATAGAAAGACACTATTTGAGATTACAATAGCCAAAGAACAAAAAAAGATTACGTAGGAAAAAGCATAACAGTGTTCAGTTGTCCACACTATTGGTATCACATTACACTATACAAAGATGCAGAAGTGCAACATACTAAAATGATGCATTCTCTAGCATTTCTTTGAACAGATTTTCCTCAAAACTGACACAGGTCATTTCAGTGCAGAATTTAGGCACAATCTTAATTGACTGGAAACAACTTTTCCCCTGAAGCAGTAAGCACCCAAAAACTTTGTCTGATTGATCCAAAATTTTTTCCATAATAGAAATGTGCAACACGTCAAGTTTATTGCTAAGATGGTTTGACAGCTAATTAACATTTAGTACCATTAGCCGTTTGGAGAGTCGGAATTTGATAAAAAAGAAAGTATTGGTTTATCATAAGCCTAAAAATACATATTGGTCATCATATTACAAGCCTGTTATGACAAACTTCTTTCCTAAACATAACACAAGCAACCTCTCATCCTCCACAGTCTTGTTTTCTATATCAACCTGGTAAGAACCGATTTTTCTTCAGATAGTTATTCATGTTTTCTTGTTCTAATAACTCATGCAAGAATCAAAAAGCGTCGTTAATATCACACACAAAAATAGGAATTGCACCTAAAATCCCTAGGCTATTGCCCTTGGCAATCTTCAAAGCCAGATACCATCCTTCCTACACCGTTTAAACATGCAAATCTGCATCTAAAGAATTCAGTTCCTCCTCTTACTCGGATCTACCATCAACTGCAAATCCGCTCATTTACAATCCATTTCATATCAAAAGATAAGTCATTAAACCTTTTACAGGAACTCAGTAGCTTTTCTTAAACGGGACTTCTCCTTTTATCTTCCAACTTAGAACTATAAATTGAATTCCTAAAAAGCAACTAAAATTCCAAAACTAGTTCAATCTTAAACTCCACATTGAACTCTAAGCGGTGCGTTGATAATTCAGCTCATTCCCAGCAAAATTCTCTCTTAAAATTGCAATTTTCTATCTCTTTCTCGCTTTCTACCATCTCCCTTTTAACACCCCCCCTTGAAGATTTCATAATCACCCTTTTTCCCAGCCTACCAAATCAAAAAGATAAATTCTAACTTCTTTTCAAATAAAGGGCATCAAGAATGTTTCGATCATACAACAGAATATTTAAAATGCAGGTTAACTGAAGAGACATATTCTTTAATTACAGGATAGTCAAGATTGCCCAAGATTAAGAAGAAGGAGAAGATAGCCTACCAACTAATCAATTAATCAGAATGAAGAGGCCAGCTGCTCTACCAGGGCCACAAACCTCTCATCCAACAAGTAATCTGTTTCTTTATCCAACAATTCTACTCTTTTCCAATGCTTTAAAAACCGGACGGTTCATTGAACCGGTGAAGTGAAAGGGTCGAGATTCAATCGATCGGACCGATTCAACCTCGGTTCAATGAATTTTTTAAAAAATTATTTATATAAATATATATATGTACAAAATAAGACATGTAATGGATTAATTTAATACTTTATATGATGAAAGATTTACTATTTTTTTTATAACTTGGATTTTTTAAAAATAAAATTTTTAAATCATAAGTTAAAACAAAAAAATTTCATCTCAATTTCAATTATATCTAAATCCAACCAAAAAATATCACAATATTTTGAAATTATACAAAATTCACGTCTATGAGAATTTAGATATTGTGAACTTAAATTTTAATTTACGTTTTAGCGATTGCAATTTAAAAAAGGAAGTTTGGAGTTCGAAGGAAGTCAAGAAAATCGAAAATAGAAATGTAAACTTGATAAGAAACAAAAAATGAGATAAAAGTGAGTGGTTGTAGCATTAAATAATTTGGGTTAAAAAATAATTCTTTTTGAACTTTTTTCAATTTAATGGACAAAAATAAAATTAAAAGATGGAAGAAAACATCAGTAAATTAAAAATAAAGAGGTTTGATTAAAAAGGGAGTGACAAAAAAAAAAGAGGATAGAGAGAGAGAGAGAGAGAGAGAGAGTTGAAAATTAAAAAGAAAGAGCCATGAGAGGATGAGATTTTGTAAGAAAAATGAAAAAAAGAAATATGAGTGTTTGCTTTATATAAATAAATTATCAAAAAAAATTAATAGGATGTGATGGTGCAACGGTTAATACATTGGTCTTCTATTACAGAGGTCTTGAGTTCGAATCTTGATAGCTGCATTTTGAAAAAAAAAAAAAAAAAAGGGTTGAAAACCGGTTCAATAGCGGTTCGACCGGTTCTTGATCGATTTTCTGACAAAGTCAACTATGGCATTGAACCGGACCGGTGCCATGGCCGGTTCGCAGTTCAACCGATCGAACCGGCCGATCCGGTCCGGTTTTCAAAACATTGCTCTTTTCTTGTTGAATAAAGAAGTTCACTCCAGTTAAGGGTATTTCTTTCAAGTTGACTTTCTTTACTGCTAAATTGCTAATCCGTCCCCTGCGACCTTTGACCTTTCTTTTCCTTGTCCTTTTTTTCCCTCGAAAATATTTTTCTTCTCACATGTTTTTAATTTTTTTCCCCTGCTAGTCTTATGTTCTTTTCACTTCTTAAGAAATTAATGGTTTCTAAATAAAATACCAAAATGCAATAATGATGTGTGGTTAATTGATTTTCGTCTTTTACTTTATTTATAGTGCTTTGTCATTTGAAAGTTTGATTTTATTTCAAATACTAGGGGAGAAGCCTGCACAATGCGCAGGAGTGAATACCTGTGTTATAATTTGCTAAGCATCATGAGATTAAAAAAGTAAAAAATACTATCAATATTGGTAAGCAAATAAGAAAGTATAGCGATTTTTAAATGCACAAATAGAATCAAATACACTAATTGTTTAAGTGGAAAAATGTAAAAATAACTAAATGGTCATTTAATCACATAATCACAAGTCAGTAGGAATTTTTTCTAAATTTATTGTGAAAACATTTATATATATATGTATATAAAAAATGAATCACTTTAGTCCTTGCAATTGTAATGATTAGAAAGACAATCAAACAACTGATTGTAAATCCTTTATTCAAAAATTGTACTATTTCATATTGTAAATTGTTTCTCCTGAAGTAATCAACAAATAGGAGTCCCTAACCATAAAACTATCATATGCTTAGAAATTTAGGAATGCTTGGTCTGCTTTTGTTAATTAGTGCCTATTTATGTTTCCCCTACCATGACTATTGCAATTTAACTGACATATAGGCTTGCAGATAAATTGAAAAGGACAATATAAGTCTAATTAGCAAGTCTAAATTTTCGAAATCAGATGCATAATACAATTGCGGAAAACAGAATTGTAATTCTAGTACAGCAACACATGAACACCAATAATGCATTCATTAATTGGAACAATTGTTTTAGGAAGTACCTTAATCAGAAAGCTACTACTGGACGAATCCCTTGTTTGACAGTTGTACCTCAGTTGCTGGCAAACACGAAAATTCAAGAATTCAGTTACAAATATAATTATCACTTTTAAACTACATAATATTGTTATTGTTTCATTCAAAAATTTGATATACACATAGATAGTATCTACCTAAAAAATACAATGCAAGAAACCTTATCTCTTCAAGGACCACCTTGGTGATATAGAGCTTAAGCAACTCATGCAACCTTATTGTGTTAACGTCCTTCATTATCGCAGGTTGCTAAAAAACTGCTCAACAAATGCTTTAGAAAAGCCAAAAACTTTCAGTTTCCATTCAAACATGCTTTCCAACAGGTCCCTCATCTTCCAATCATTACTATTGTATTAAAGAAGCCATAATTGCTCACTCTAATGATCCAACTTTTTACATCTGCTGAATTCATTTTGTGAAAAATTTAGAAGAGAAAAAGCCAACTGTTACACTTCTACTATAAAGGATTGAGTTAATGTTCTTCTCAATGCATTCATGTGCGCGTAATCATGCTCCAATTATTCAATGTAACCCTTGGATCTCTTTGCAGAAACTCAATGACTTGCATGAAGATTTGTAGCAATTACAAATCAATAGTAATAGTTATTTAGAAGTGCAAAGCTGAAACAATAGCTGAATAGCTACGCATCAATAGTGTAAGTATCAACCCACTAAGGATAGAGTGGGTAATGCACACCAATGCACATTCAATGCTAGTACTATATCGTTAATGATTTGTACACTCGTGCTGCATTGCCTAACTTGCTCCTCGAAAAGGTCAAATGAAAATTATCCAACAATCAAACAACAACCCGTTTTTAAGAGAAGGATATTTCTGTATACACAAGAATATGCACATGCTATCTTAAGTAGTACTCAACGTTATAACTACATTTAAAACAATTTTACAATCCCAAAATACCCTTATTCTTGCAGTTGAAATTCAAAATCATTCTTTTTCCCAAACTCAATCTTATATAATATAAGGATATCTACTTGTGTCACTTTTTGACATTTATGTATTTGAATCATGGTTTACCATCGTTGGTTATGCTTGTGGTTGTTCCACATCCATCGCGGCATACTGGTTGGATATTGGGTGACACATACATTATAACACATAAAAATTTTCGAAAAACTTTAAAAAATTACTAAAAATAGAAAATACCATAAAAGGCACAATTATCAAACTAAATTTACTAAATACCTACATTATCATATATAGTTTCTAATTATTTAAATAAAATAATGCTGCGATTATCATAAACCTATAGCATTAGCAATTAATGATTTTAGCATTAAGTGTGCCTTCTAATCCTATTTTATATGATATCAAACATTAAATATAAGAATAAAATCAACATATCTTATTTATTACAATACGAATCCGATATATACAAAGGAAGCAGTGGTGTTTAGTTCAATACAATATAAGAAACAAATACGTATTAAATAATATTATGAAATACAAAGACATAAAGAAGCAAGCATTTTCACCATTTTCTCAATAAACATTTTCATCCTACATTGATCAATTCCGATGCCCAGGTGATTGATCTCAATTTTTCTAAAATAAAAAATAATAAATATCATTGAAATATTAAAATTAATGAATTATGTACAACTCCTAATTATGAGATTAAGATTGGGAATCCAATCTCCTAATTACTTGAGCTAAACTTGGACTTTAAGAGTTTTTAATTTTTCCTTCCCTTTTTTCCTGTCTTTGGCTCCACTAGAAAAGTCCAACTAGTCCAATTTTAGCTTCGTTTTTTTCACTCCAAATTTAGTCGTTCCTTCTATTTTTTCTTCTCCCTTTCGTTCCTTCTTCTCCTTTCTGTTCTTGATGATGTTAATAGAAGGCAGGGACAATTCTCACTCCAATTTCGGACCACTTTCCACTCAATCATTTCCAACTCTAGTGATAATTTCAGCAATAACTTCTCTATTCTTTTTTATTTTCAATATAGCAAACTCGCTTGGAGAATCATGGGTTTAATCAAGACAACCCGATGCGCTGCTTGATGCTCCGATTGAAGACAAATCAATGATGAAATTGCCGGTCCATTTTTCTACTACTTGATTCTCTACTGTACTATACTTTCTACACCTTTACTTCTCCTTCCTCTTTCCCTTGTCTTTGTGGATGAAAAAGAAAAGAAAAAAGCATGACGGGAAGGACGTTTTTTAACTTTGAGCCTTTTGTTGGTGCTTATTATGAGGGCTTTGAATTTGTATGGCAATAATTGAGTTGGATGCAGTAACTTTTTTGTTGTTTTCATTCACTTTTTGGATCACTTTCTCTAATCTTTCTATTCATGTTTTGTTTGGTTTCAATTATTAGGTGTTCAAATTTTAGGTAAAAGGTGAAATAATAGAGATGTGATAGAAAGCAATTTGTTGTTGTAAAGCATTGGAGTAGCTCCAAGTCGTTGCATCTAAAATAGAGGGGTAATAACTCTCTATTTTTGTAAATTTTTGGTTTGCCTTTGCTTGATTCTCAAGTCGACTCTGAGTTAACTCGGAGATTTGGACCGATTTCAAGTATCATGGATTTGACTCGACCAACATTGGTCAAGTTAGAATAAGTCGTTGCAGATATGGATCTATCCATGATTCGGAGATCGGTATCGTACTAGTCCCCTCTATTCCATTTATAACTAGGCTGAATCATATTTGACTTGACTGAGATCGTTAACCATGATTTGGATAGATGATTATCTGAAATATTATTTGAAATAATCACTATAAAACTTTTCCTGATATTATGTAAATAAGATAAAAAGGTAATTAAAAAAATAAAATTTTATTAAAAATTATGTTTGTGATGTAA